TATTATTAATATGAACGGTTGAAGTCTTATTATTTTAAGGATTATTTTTTTGCTTTTAAGAATTTTATAACTCAATGAAAAAATAATARTTTCGAAATGCAAATCTCACAGTTTCTTAGGAAATTCCTTGCTCTACAAAAATAGTCTCTTCTTTTTTCATAAACTTTTGTGTTTTTTTTTCATACTTTTTATATTTTTCGTATATATTTTTTTTATTTTTTCATTATTTTTTCGTTGAATTTTTGTCGGAGATATCTCCTAAATGCTTCACTTAATCGAAAAGTTACGAAAAGTATCTAAGAAGCAATTTTTCRGAATCTCAAGAAAAACAAATTTTCGCTTTTTTGATTCGTGATTCGAAAAAAAAATTTTTTTTCGTTTGGTACTCTGGAAAATAGGTTCCTAGATACCCCTAAGGAAGCCTCTCCAAAAAAAAAAAAGAGTTCTTAATTGTGTGGGAAGGTCGTCCTACTTTCAAATTTCTATTTTTTCTTATTATCATATAGAAAACTTTATACTTTATATCGCGCTTCCAACTACTTGAAAAAATATCTTGTTCCTTAGATTTTGCAGAAAATTGAATGCTCTACAAAAAAGGTCTGTACGATTAACAGTTAAAGTTTGATTATTTTTGGGAAATTTTTTATTTCTTATGAATTTTATAACTAAATGAACTAAATTATTATGAATGATAATCAAAATATCAGRCGAACATTTTTTCTTGAAATTTGAACCACCCTAATATTTATATATAAACATATCGAAAAATCATAAAAAGCGTCTCGAACTAATTTTTCAAAATATCAAGCAAATAATTTTTTCATTCATTTGACACATCCTAATATACATATGTATAATAAAATATTATAATAATAAATTTCCATTTTTTTTACCCACCCTAATATTAAGACTTACCGCAAATAACAATACTTATGCATATATCAGTCTCTGTATTGTTTTACATTTTTTGTTGAACTATTTGCTCTCAATTTCCACCTTTTGCGCCCTTTGCTCCGTTTGCAAGTCTGCCATTTGCCCCTTCATTAAATCTGCTTTATTTTCAACTGCCCTTTGGCGCAACCTTTTTATCCCTATTTAATACTTTTAATTTTTTCTATTTTCTGTTTTCGAATTTGTGCYCATATTTGTTGGCACTTTGCACTTTCATGTCGCGGGCGTTTAATAATTTGCAAAATTACATTTTGAAACTCATTTAACGGTAATTGCATTAGTCGCGTTTGACATGATTTGCTTGTAGGGCAAAGATCTCTTAGTTTACTTACTTAGATAGTGTAATTTACTGGCGTTTAGAAAACAGRAACAAAAATGTTCAAAGCATTTAGCTGCAATACTTTAAGCTAAAACGTTTACAAAGCGCAGTTTGTATTTGCTTTTGTTTTTGTAGTGAACTAAATCGGACACCTCACTTATGAGCCSGGAAAAATGGAATAAATAAATCTAAAAAAATATAAAATAAATGAATTTAAAAGTATCAAAAATAAAATAAGTAGCAGCAAAGCCTGTTTGTTAGTTGCTTTTAAATTAGAATGGGCTAGACTAAATAGAATAAAAAAAAGTAAATAAAAAACAAATTGAAAAAAAAAATAGAAGCAATTTAAAAAATAAAATGAAATAAAAATATTAAATATTAAATATCGGACCACTATAGGATATAGCTGCCATACAAACTAATCGCTCAAAATCAAGTCTTTGTATGGAAAWCTTTATTATTTTCGTCGTTATTTACACGACCGTATAATTTCCGAACGAATTATTGTGATCGGACCACTATATTATATTATATAGCTGCTATACAAACTGATCGTTAATAATCAAGCTATCAATGTTTCATCAAGCTATGTCAATGCTTTTCTCGTTTTTATTTTATTTAACTTTTTTTTAAATTTTGCTTTTATAACAATCTAAACCTAAATACATAACCTTCCATTAGAAAATTGTAATAATCGCCATTAAAAATAAATGTAGGCAACACAACAGCAACAATGTTATATTTATATTCGTTCAAAAATAATGTACAACAATAACAAGATATTAACTTTCTCTCGCAAACGCAAGCGGCACAGGCCGCTGTAGGTTTCTACCTTACGTTCTGCGATAGGCTTCTAATACCCACTCGTGTGTGCTGCTATGCATAAATACATGCACGGAATATACATATGTATGTATGTATATAAGCACATATGGTTGTATGCACACCTCAGCCAATTATCAATCGAATAATTTCGCTAGACAACCGTTGTAATTTTTTTTCTTTGTTGCATTGGCATACTGTATATATGTACATTTGGCCAGCTCATCTATCACTTTTATTGCATACGTTTGCTTGATGACCAAAGACAGAGTTATATTTGCAAGCACACGATGGCATGTATACACCTACAAATATATGTGTATATATATATGTAGATATAGCTATGTAATTATCTTTATGCAWTATTTTATAGTGCCATTGCCGAGCCAGTTTGTCTGCCTGCGCGCCGCTTCGCCAGCTAATCAGCTAGCCTCACCGTCAGCTAGTCAGTCCTCCAGTCAGCCAGCCGGTGTGTGCTTGTGCTATATACATTCACACACACACCCATGTGCCTGTTATCTATGCGCCTGCAATGCGAAATGCTTTCAACTTCTTATCAAATGGCGGTAAATAAACGTCAATAACAATAACAACCGCCAGTCTATGAAAGAAAAAAGGAAAAAGAAAAAAAACGGTATTTACAGATATATTTGTTATATTTATGTACGTGCAAACGAATACCAAGCTATAACAAAAACAACATGCYTATGTATACTATAGATTATACATACCTATATATGTATGTAACGATGTGTGGTGCGACATGTGTGCATTATTTTGTTCCTGCCAATCATTTTATTTTTACTTTTTTATATAGTAGTTTCCCTGTTTTTACTCTTTAGTTGCGTTTATTTATTTTACTTATATTTTATTTTCCAATTTTACGTATGTGCTTTTATTTTTTGAATTTTAATTATTATTATTATTTTTTTGTATTATTTCTTAATTTTGTTTACTTTTTTAATTTTTTTATTTTGTTTTATTCTTTTTTGTATATGTTTTCGTTTTTCGTTTGCCTTTATTATTTATTTTTAGCACGCTATTTGTATTTGACTCGCTGGCGTTCTATAGCTGATAAGCGAAAAGAAAGTTCAATTACGAGCAAATAATTTAAATATTTTTAGTTGTTTATTACGCTTTCGTTTGTTGTTTGCAAGCAAATTTTGCCTTTTTTCATTTCAATCCGACGCCGGGTTTTTTTTTTCTCCTTCCTGTGTTAATATTTTGTATTGATTTGTTCAAAGTGGTTTGCTTTTGCTTAATTCTTGCTATTTTAAGCACACAATAGACATACAAGACATCTTCAGCAATAGGAACGTTGACACTGCTKTTTGTTGCTGGTTTGTACTAAGGTGACAGGTGTACTATCGTTTCGTTGTGTCTAAAAGAAAAATTTCTTTTTATTATTATTAGAAAACAATTTTTACCAGAATTTCTAATAGGCCAATACATCTTTTCAACAAATTCGATATTTTTGTATATTGCGCCTGAATGCAGGCAAACCAAGTTCTTAAACCTACATTTACGATAACAAATAATAAGTCGATTAATTTCAATAAACTGAATACGTTTTCATACTGCGCCTAACTGTAGTCAACATTTAAAATTTAAATCAAAATATTACCTATATTTAAGATAACATCACAAATAAAGTTGATACTTTTTTCCATTAAACTGAATGTTGCATACTGCGCCTAAATGTAGTTAATATCTAAAATATAAATCAAAATATTGCTTCCATTTAGGATAACATCACTAATAATAGAAAATATAAGGTGATGATTTTTTTGCAATTGAATATGCAATAAAAACAAAATATTGCTCACATTATGGAAAACATCACAAATGATAACTCGATATTTTTTTTTAATAAACTAATTTAACATTCAAATTAAAATATATCCTGCATTTTGACTGATATTATGATATTTTTGGATACTGCCCCTGAATGTAGGCCATACTAAGCTTTTAACTGAAAACATTGCCTACCTTTAGGATGATATCACAAATAATAAGTCGTTGCAGTTTTCCATTCCACTCAATATTTTTGTATACTGTACCTAAATGAAGACAATGCTTAGTTTTTGCGGGGCACTTCTAGTATTATAGCCTAAAGTAACTCCATTTTTTTTTTGGAATTTTTAAAACAAAAATTTAATATTTTTTCGAATATGAGATTTCCGACTGCTCTAAAAAAAGTTTTCGCACTAAAGCAGTGATTCTAGCTTTCTAGCTGAAGAAACCTAAAAATAACAAATACAATCACCTACCATTTTTTTGTAAAATTATATGCAAAATAGGCAGAAAAAAATGTTCATGATGAACGGATCATTTTTCTTTAAGTTTTCACTGCAGCAAATTCGAAAACTGCTGTACAAAACACCTTCAGAAATGATCTATTGAAGCTGGCTGAACTGAACGGCTTGCCTTTAAATAGCTGCAACTCAAAAACTATTTAAAGCACCATTTTRAGTTCTTAATATGTGATATTTGGAGATATAAACTACCGAAATATGAAAAAGGAAAAGTAGATTTTTCAAAATTTCACGCTGGTTGTACCCCTTCAATCACAATATTGCCTACCTTGAGGAGTTAGTCAATAATATTAACGATCGAAATCAAGTTCTTGTTCGGAACATTTCTTTTACTGACCACATTTTTCAAGAAATTTTTCAAGCATATATGTAGCTGCCCCACAAATGGCCGATCAAAGTCAAGTCTTTGTATAGAAAACTGATTTAATTGACGAGATATCATACTCAATTGCCATAAATTATTGACTAAGATGATAAAATCTCCGAACAAATGCTCAGTTCGGATCTCTATAGTATATAGCTGCCATGAAGCTTAAAGTTTCCATATGGCTGGTTATAACAATATTTAAACAGATTTTAATAAATTACTGCACTCTCAAACATCTCACTGCCTCACTTAAATAATTTTTTAGTGATTTATATTTGCCCCTTGGTATATACATATATAGACATTTAACTCATTACAAGGCCAACGGAATTTCAAAGGCACGTCGCTTTCCAGCTCGTCTCGTACGTAACTCATTAACTCACCGCATTTCACGGCAATATTCAACATTGTTGCTAAGTATTTGCATTTTTCTCATTTCACAGTAAGTTAATGCAGGAGCACTTCGTCTGGTGGCGATTGCTATGGTTTTGTTGTTGTTAATGAACTTCCACGTTTGCCCGCCCCGGCCAGCGCGCGCGGCCTAACATGAAAGTGAAAACTAACCGGCAAGCAAGAACTTCGGCGAAGTAGTAAAAATTACAACAACAGCAAATCAGTTACGCTTGCTACTAAGTCACTAGTCACAGTGACGTAGTTAGTRCACAGCGCTTCATTATTTCTTATACATGYTGCCGTTTGCGCCACCATTTCTTCATATTYCGTCGACAATTCSTTGCTCCTTGTTTGTCTGAGCAACCGGCGAACACACAGCAGCCATAAATATTTGCTGGCTTACCCCAACATAACCTAGTAGCACATGCTGGCTTGCCGCGCCAATCCCTGCCACGTCACCGCACAGCGCACCCCACACGTGGCAGCAACCTACAGCCCAATTCGGCAGACTTCCCGCACTAGCCGCGCATACCCCTTCTTAAAGTCGGCAGCATCTGTGCTACGCGCCATGCAAAACTAGTTTCGCTACGGTTTATTATTACCATTTTGTGACTTTCTTACAGCTGCTGTTGTTGTTGTATTTTGTTTTATTTTTTTCAAATTTCGTTTTGGTTTTCGTTACGGGTTTCGCTTGGTTAGTTAGCGCTGGCAACAAAAGTTGACTGCCACACTGTGTGTTGTTGTTATTGTGTTACTGGCAGACAGCGTCGAGACAARCAGGATTAAAAAGGATAGCTGAGTGGCTAAATAGACAAAACAGAGTTGATGTTGSTKTTGCTGCTGCCGGTGCCGGTGCTTTTGGCAGTGGTAAATATTGCTGTGCTGGCAACAATAGTGGCATGGCGGCAACTAGCGCCCGCCAACCCCACAAATATCTAACTCGCCAATAACAAAAACAAACAAAGTGTGTGCGTGTGTTCCCGGAAATGCTGAAAAGCTGTTGCTTGTTTCATTTTCCACTATCCTCTGCGGCAACAGCCAGCATGCCGTCACACACACATACACAAATGCATATTTCACAGATCTCTGCGCAATTCTCTGCGTTTGGCCCACCATCAGTCGCGCGCGCGTATGTGTGGCGGCATTCCAGCGTGTGCACATAAATATGCCAGCGTGTTGWTCTTACAAATTTCCATTGCACTGTTTCACTTTTGCACCGTCGTGTTGCAACATTCTTGTTGTTAATTTGTTGTAGCAACAAGATTCGTTTTCATTTGACGGCTTTTGAAAGCCTCCAGCTTTGCCGGGTGCTTTGTTTTTTTGCTTCCGCTCGCTAGTTTTGCATTTGCATTCGTGGAAATTTGGGTTAAGTTGTCAGCACTATTGGTGTCGTGTTGTTTCAGTTCGTGTTTTGWAGTGACAGTTTTAGGTTTTTATTTCAAATTTGATGGAGTGCAGCGTTCTGCTCACTTTATTGCATTCGTATGTAGGTGAAGTGGATGGATTGAATATTCATATTTCTTTTGAATTCGTAAAAAAGTACTGCAATGTTTTGTTTCGAAAGTGAAAGGTTCAAAAGTGGGGTTRCCTGAACATTACTGGCACTATTTCTATTAGTAATGTGGTTATTTTAATATTTTTACTAATATTTGAAGGTAGATTAGAGATTCAATCATATTTCACCAGGTTTTCAAGGAAAGCTTGAGTTAACAACTTTTGAGTAGTTATATCTCGGTTATGTAAACCCGTTATGTTTATTAGAGACCCACTTGTTTCGGGTACGTACCACACGACATTCGATATTTATGGTGGAAAGTTTAACCTTCCTACGTTTCCGACATAAAATAATGCCATTTCCATAAAAAATCGGGTTTCGGTTTTACATAATAGAAACATAACGGGTATATATAACCGAAACATAACTTCTTACATAAAAAATCGTCCTTCTACTTACATTATATTTACTAGCAGTCTGTCGCGCAGTACGTAGACCCACTGATGCTTAATAATGTCAGCCGGCAATTAAGATAATAATCTTTTTCTTTTTAGACAGGTTATTAAATTTTACTAAAAGTCCATAGTTCAGAGACTTCTGTATGTACATATTGTTCCTAGATGGAATATAGGACCTCAAATTGGTATGCTGGAAAGATATTGCTCCTCAATTTACAAAAATCTACACTTTTACGGATTTATTATCTCTAATATCTTCCAACTAGATTAGACTACTAAATTCTTTATAGAGGAAAATTTGGTAAAAGTAATATTATCAATGGACTTGTTTGGCCATAGTAAGTCCCWACGAAAATTTTAGGTGAATATTTTGATTTTTTCATTGCTTTATTATTCTCGGTCTGTCTATAGTTTAGAGTAAGAAGGACTTAAATCGCTCACAACTATGTATTTTCATAATGGTACGTTCCAGTTATTTAACCCGACTGTCGTGGGAAAGGCGTCTTCCTGTTGAAGCAATGAAGCAATGAAATTGATAAAACAAAGAMATTCAAATTTTATCGAAAGTCGATAATTGATGACAGTATATGTGCTTCATACTATAACAAGGCTTGTATAAACCCAATAAAAAAAAAAAATTATTATAGTTTGAAAATCAAATACATGTTGTTGTTCGCATGTTGTTGTTTTATATCTGAGTGCCTCTTTTATTTGTTGCAAAAACCGAATTGCTCTCACATTCAAAGGCATCGCACACGCTTCTTACACAAGAACTTACTTCATCACCTAAAGTATGGCTTGTTAAACAAATAAAACTCGGAAAGCAGCAAAAA